ATAGAAATATCCAGACAAAGTGCCTGTTGTTAAGAGGCTAATGGGATGGTACGTTTTGATAAATTCACTCTTCTTGATGTTCCCTAGTCAGAAGTTAAGAAATAGGTTTAGAAGTATAGCTCTTTATCACACACTGGTACGTTATGTGGAGTTCCGTACCGGATCTCTTGCAGGATCAGTTTATCCTTTTTGTTCAAACTCACTGCTCTCAGTGACTGAGACTGAGCAAGGTACTGTGCTTCTGAACTTACCAGAAACTCTCCTTTAACTTCCTTTATAGGCAAGCATCTCACTGACCTTTGGCTTTATACCTTGGAGTTTCAAGATTCTTTAAGTATTCCCGAGGTAAGAGAAACTTGAGAGAGAGAAAGAGCTTTGCTTCCCTAAGCCATTTTCCTATGTCTTCCTTATTGAGACCACCTCAAATTGCCCTTAACTGGGATAAGATCATCTTCTAGCTGATTTTGAAATTGCAATAGCCATAGCTTTTTTGGATCTTGTTGACTAGGGAGAAATAAATATTTCCTAGGGAAGTGTGAAAAGTTTCTATTCTGCAGCTTGTCAGGAAGAACGGCTATTATTATTTCTTTATACGATAGCCAAGTTTTTCATTCTTAGCTTACTTTTAACAACAGACTGTTTTGTGGCAGACTCCATGTTCTGTGAGAGCTGAAGCTGTTTGTAGGGTGGCTCAAGGAGTCTGTGCCTGTGAGCAGGTTCAAACACCAGAGTGTTTTGTTCAGTTTTTGTGATCGAATCTAATAAAGGTACTGTTCATAGGAGCAAGCCGGAAGTCTGTATAAACAATTCTGATTTTAATTGACTCTGTTTAGAGGCTGGGTTGGCTGGTTTGTTTTGTTGGTTTTCTTGTGCTCTTTCTATCTCTCTATTTCTCTTTGAACTAGTCTCCTATTTTACTGATGCTTAAAAGTTGGTTTCTTTGGTTACAGTCATGTAGACTCTTCCAGCAGATGCGTAGATTTTTTTTTTTTTTTTTAATGTCGTGTGTAAATGAGGAAGCCCTGTAACTCCAAAATGATAGTATTTAAGGTTGCTTCTCAAAACCGATGGGCTTTTTGGTAAGTAGTGCTGGGAAAGACTAGTGAATAAACTGCTACTTCATGATGCCCCTGGGAGAAGTGAAGTGTCTACCAGCAGACCCTCAGGTTCTTGAGGAACACTGGACTTCCAGGCTTTCTTGGCATATTGGCTTCTTCAGTGTCTCAAATCAGAATGTACCTTTTAAAGTATATATGGAGATACACCTGTGAAAGTACTAAAGCTTTCATGAGGAGTCTGTGTTGTAGTATTCTGGATTAGCTGATAAACTTTATATGCTCTCAGTGGAGTTCACATGTGCTGTTGAGCTGTGAAAAACTCACTAACTCAGGCTCAGGGGGCAAAGTATCAATTCTGTTTCATTGATTTGGGAACCCTTGAGGTGAAATGGTGTACATCATGATGTTGGTTTCCAGCATCTTTCCATGTATTTGTGGACACTTCTTGCTTGTTTGGATTCCTGTTTATCTTTTCTCATTATCTCTGTCTTGTCACCATGTAAAAAATACCAGTACAACGTTTTGATAGAGGTGGTGTAGGAGGTCCTTTGTATTAATTTTTGAACCCTTAGGTGCCGAGAGTCATGTTCTTTGAAAAACCTGATTGCTGTTTCAAGTGCCTGGTATACAGTGTAACATTCGTCTGACCTTTTAATGTTTTGGGGGTTTTACTATCTCTTCACCCCCTTCCTGTTTCCAGCCTTCTTTTTGGCCTTTTCAAGACTTGGGCATACACTAACTATTCCACTTATCAGGAATGATGTTACATAAGCTTCTGCTAGACATTTAAAGGAATTCCACCAGCAGTGTGGAATGCCTGAGGCAAGAACCTGTAGAAACACCTGCTGAGTGTGATTCATGGAGGTATGTGGGTGACTTTTAAAGGGTTGGGGCCAGGTTCGGAGCTACCTAAGGTAGCTAGTCAGGTAGACATCTAGTTAGCCTCTGAGAATGGTACGTTGTAAAAGACCTGAAACATGAGTGTCACTTTGGGGCTATAAGATGTGCTCCTAATTGCTAGAAAATGTAGGGTGTTGATTCTTTTCCTGTATGTCTTGAGAGCCACTGTTTAAGCTTAGCATCTCCCCCCCCCCGCTGGTGGTTGAGTTGGGATATTGCTTTCTTTAGCTAGCCTAGACCAAGCTTTTTTTTGATGATGTAAACAAGTATTATCAGCACATACATTGCCGGTCTTGGGTGCTAATGCAATTTTGAGTGTGATGGTTTTTCCACCTGTCTTTGCTTCTGCAGGTCACTTAGCTAAAAAAATGGTGCATTTCAACATATAAAATGTAAGGGAGAGGGCAATCATTCATTTAGCCCAGCAAGAATAGACATAGCTGAAGACCAATTTTAGCTGTAAATCCTGTGGCTTTTCCTCCTGTAATCTTTGCAGATAAAGATGTAAACAAAATGTTGACCTGTCATGTTTGTGCATATTGGTGTGCTTTGTACTCCTCATGATGTAAGTACAGTTGGGCCCTTGTTGGGAAAACTGTTTCTGATTGAAAATGAGAGCAAGTCCTATTCTGAAACTAATCAGGTTCAGTTCAGGCTGTATCATTTTAAATTCCCTTAATGTCTGAGGAAGCTCTGTGAGTTGTAACTATTAAATCTGGGAGAAGTCTTTCTGGTTTTGGGAGAACTGGGAGGTATGCTCCTTGTATCTGACTGGCAAGTTGAGGGAGACACTGCTGGGCTACAGAACAAAAATAATAAAGATCACATCATCTATAGTCTGAAAGGGAGTTTTCTTCCATGATGAGATCTCAGCAGCTTGTTAGGCACTTAGCTTTTCGGGGAGATGGCATAAGTATATTCTTTATTGAAGAACTTGATTTGAAACTTCTTGGCACGGTACGTACTACAATTCTAAGTGGGCATCTATTTCTTGACTGACTCTTGCTGTCTTGTTAGATGTTATCCCAGCTGGAAGAAGACTTATCTAATGTCTTCTCAGAACTACTTACTGTATCTTCTCTGAAAGCTCACAGGTTTATGCTGATAACTTTTGCTGTATTCAAAAAGATCTAAAAGATTGCGTAGTCATATTACAAGGAAGTTTTGCAGATAGAGAATGCAGAGAAGATGAGTAAAAGCAATAGCATGGAAAGCTGAGAACCTACACTGCTTCTGGAAGTGATACTATTGTTAGGTCTTTATTGTATCGGGAGCATAAATACAGCATTTACTTCTTTAGAAGGAAATTGAATCCTCATCATTATTAGTTATTTCTGATTAAACTCTTACTATTTTACAAGGTAAAATAAAATTGGGATGTGCAACACTTAAGGTATTTTGTTTCCTTCATACAAGTTGCATGGAAGAAGCAAATCTTATTCGGTGATCTGAAAAGAAGTCACTTGCAACAGTGTTCTAAGATGAGAATAAGCCAAGTCATATGGTAATTTCTAAAATAGGGTATCAGTGAGGGAGTTGGTGAGGTTTCCTTCCACCAACTTCAAGAATTTATTTCACCTTGTTTACTTTTGTCATCAAATACAGACTTCATTTGGTAAGTAAGAGGAGATAAAATCAGCGTGGTAATGCACTTCAAGCAACAAGTAGTGGGACTTAGTCTTATGGATTTAATCAAAAGCTGTTAGCTTGTTTAACATTTTCATCATATGCTGTGTAAGCAAAAGGTGTGAGTTGTAAAAGGAGCTGCAGAAAACTTTCTCATGACCCTAGAAAATTTATATGTGAGGAGTCCCCTGTGGTGTGTCATACACTTAAAAGTACACACACCCCACCTCCACCCCAAAGTGGAGCATATATGGGTATGTCCTCAGGTAAAGGCAATTTATAGAGATTAGATATAATCTCTAATTAAATTCTGCTTTCTCTTAATGGTTTTGCAGCTCAAAAATGGAGCTCCTGGTTCTTGAAGTCACATAGGTTTTTTCTGTAACCATTTTTTTCCTGTTGAAGATACAAAGGATAGTTTTTCTTAAATTTCAAGCTTTGGGAAGAAGGCAGAATTCTCTGCTAACGAACAGGGGTTTATTTTCATATTTTATCTACCCATGATTTTCAGCTACCTGTTTCCTGTAGCCAATATTTTGGGGAAAAATTCTTATAATTGCACTAACTTATGGAACTTCAGTCTTCCACAGATGTAGTATCTGTGCAGTGTGTTACTATTTACAGATACTTCTTGTGTAGTCATTAAGAGGTGTGTTTTATATGAATGCAAATGTTGAGTTTACAATCTGCATAAACCCATATAGTGGATTTGTCAGTATAATAAGGCTTTGGGTTGGGCAAAAGTTGATTTGAAATCACTCTTCAAGATAGTTGTACATTTTCTTCTGTTTTGAGATTTCTTACTTGGTCTTTTCAGTTGTGCTAATTGTTTGCTCCCTATTAAAAAAAAAAAAAATTAGTGTAGTATGTGAGGTTGTAGAGGGCTTAAATTTAAAATCACACACACCCCCCCAACCCAGCTACAAAAGCCAGCACTCTGCATAGATCCTTTGATACCAGTGTTAACTAGGAAACTTAGAGCATCCAGTTTATTTGCTGGATTTTTTTGCACATACACTTTTAATGATAGTAAATTTATTAAGAAAGTAAGGACAGTAACACTTTTATTATACTAGTTCTTTAGCTGCTTTGTTCCAAATGATAGGTATTGAAAACTGTGAAATAGTATTCCGTGTTGGTTAATCTTATCAGAGATTTGTTTTATAAATAAATTGTGCTTCTCAGCAGAATGGAGGATTTTAATGTTCCAGGTAGTATGCTTGGCTTTGCCTTACCTCTTATGTACCATTACCTCAGGAAATGAGGGCGTGTGGTGTGATTACATAATGGTCAGTTTCTTTATGCTAGGAGTTAAATATTTATATGGCTAGCAAAAGAACTCTCCCTGCAAGTAACTGTGAGGAAGAATTGAGAATGAATAACAGTGGACTGGAATAGCTTTATTCTTTATTTCAGATTTCGACCTATTAAAGGAAGGCAAGAAGAACTAAAAGAGGTGATTGAACGTTTTAAGAAAGATGAGCACTTAGAAAAAGCCTTCAAGTCCTTGACGTCAGGTGACTGGGCCCGGCACTATTTTCTTAACAAGAACAAAATGCAGGAAAGGTTGTTCAAGGAACATGTAGGTGTATTTGTAATTAATGTGCTTTTTCAGATGGTTGAAAGGCTAAGAAAATGTACAAATTTCTTAGGAATGTAGCAGTAGTGAAGGAGAGTAATCCACTACTCTGTTATATGTTGTTTGTTTGATTGCTTTTTAACAGAAACTTCCTTTGTTTTTTAAAACCCAGCTAGCTCACCCCCCCCCCCTTTTTTTTTTTTTTTTGAGTTAACCTACCATTACCTCTTATTTAATTTACACGTAGAAAGGAAAACACATTTGCCTCTTTTGCTGTTGGCTTAAGTCATAAGCAGAAAAGAGATGACCTGCTTCTGGGAGGCAAGAGTTTTGAGGACTTCTTTCATTATTTGGAAGGGTTCCCCCACCTTTTTTGTTTGTTTGTTTTGTGTTGGTGTGTTTGGGGGTTTTTTTCAGGGTTTTGTTTTTTTTTTAACTTACGGCTATTATAAATCAAATTGTGTGACAAAGAAAGGTAAAGGAAAAGGGAGAAGTCTTGTTACCTCAAAACGCCTCAGTTGTTTTGGGTATAGGGGCTTTATGTGGGAGTGTTATTCCTCTTCCTCCAGTTCCCACACCCCAAATACATTTTGTGTATAGCATAAAGGTTGTTGACTCTCGAAGTTGCAAGGAAATCATAGTATTGTTTTACTTAAAAAAAACAACAAACCAAACCAAAACAAAAAACAAGACAACCGTCCTTCACGAATGAGTGCATTGTTTTCAGATACAACCAAAAGGGATTTGGCCTGCTTTAAAGTGCATCAAATCCAGTAGTGTAGAAAAAAACAGGCAGCAAATTCTGCTTTCCCAAAGTGTTTTTTGAGTAATGCAACCGCACTTTAACTAAAAATAATTGATCCAACAATCCCTGAATTCAGTATCTAGATTTTAGTAATATCTTTTTCAGAACTGGAAAGCATGAAGTTGGACCCTGTAGATTATTAGTCTCAGTGGTTCTTAAGGATCTGAGAAGAATTCTTGAATGCGACTACTCAGTGACTTTAAGAAGTTATCCGTTTTCATTGGTTGGGCCAATTTTGTACCATGCAAAGCATCTTTTAATTTTTTTAAACTCTTTGGATAGTCACGTTATCCATGTGAGGATTCCTGCAAGTCACTCTGAAGATTAACATAATGTGTATAGCTAAAACTTATAATCAGAAATGCAGTTCAGCAAACAACATCACATTGCAATATCCATTTTTTTGTGTGGTTTGGGTTTTTTCTTTTGCAGTTCACTGACTTTCATTATTTTTATAAAAAGTTCCACACTGCTTTTGTTTTGCTTGTAACAGAAAAGTACTGTTTCTTTCACTGCAGGTATTTATTTATTTACGAATGTTCGCAACTGACAGTGGGTTTGAGATACTGCCTTGTAATCGGTATTCTTCTGAGCAAAATGGAGCCAAAATTGTTGCAACGAAAGAATGGTGAGAAATATAGTTTACTGTTGCATTCTATTTCTGTCAATTATTTTGAAAGATTCTAAAAAAAAAAAATTAAAAGTATGATTTAGAATTAAAACTGCAACCAGTGAAATAGAAAGTTCTGTATTTTTATTATTTTTATTTGCAAATCAAATCTGGTGTCTGTTTTTGCTAAGTACTTAGCACACAATACATGCATTTGTAAGACATTCCTTTGTATATTTGGACATAGCCATACATTTTTCAGTATACAAGGTGTTTTGTCTTGTTTTCAGTCAGATAATTATTTTCCTTTAATCATGAGTTGTTGGCCTCCTGTGAGAAACATGACCATGCCAAGACTTACATTATGCTGGATTTGTTATACAACAAATAATTGTGGGGAAATGAGTTTTTTGCCTTTGTGAAAGTGAGGGATGTTATTTGCATGTTTTGATTGTGCAAGATAAGTTTCTCCTAGAAACACAAAGTTGGAACCCCAGTGTATTTCATCATCTCATTTTGGCACATCTGAGTTTTGCTATAAGCATGTCTGTGGCAGCACCAGCAGATCCCTGGGTAAATTTTCCCCTTGCTTCCCTCTCTTCCCCGCCCCCCGCCC